ACCAGGGGAGAGTGAAACTACACCAAAGGAAGATACTAGTATGTAGCACACAGCACATAGAGGAATAAGTGCCTAATGCTCTAGAAAGCAGCGAGAAAATGAGGTGACGAAAGTGTACTGTGTTACTAACTAACGTCTGTTCCATTAGTGTCTTACTGCAACTCATCCAAGTCAAGGGCTGCCGACTGAGATACCGCAGTGGCTGCTTCAGCTGTCAGGATATCGAGCGACACTAGGTATCGAACACCACGCCGATATTTCTTGCCGTTGACCTGGATGTCCATGACGCGAACAATGCCGTCCTTGCCAGGGAACGTGGCCTTCACGGGTCCTAGCGGCCATCTGTAGCGTGATAACGCATCGTCCATGACGAGGAAGACGTCTCCAATCTCGACCGTGCCCGATTGGCGGCGCCACTTAGTCATGATGTTCATAGCAGAGACCATTTCTCTTAGCCACCGCTTCCAAACATCTCTGAGGAGCTGCTGGATAACTTTCCAGCGATGGTATGGGTGAACTGGCGTGGACTCTGAGTCTGCCGCCATCTCCAGAACTGTTGCGATGTTGACATGACCCACGACGAAGTTTGCAGCTCCTCGTCGGTCAGGCTAGCCTTGTACAGGACTGACTGGAGTGCCTTTTTCAAGGCCCCGACCACCCTCTCAAATGCTCCGCCGAAGTGCGGCCGAGCTCTTCCCCGCGGTGGTACAGGAGGTAGCGGCCATGGAGGTTTCCGTGGCGGCGGCAGAGGTGGCGGTGATCGCGGTGGATTAAACTGCCATCTGATGCCTTGAATCGCCAACCCAGCTGTGATATTGGCATGATCCAAATCCCTCAGCGCTTCCCGCAGTTCACGATCGGTAGCAACGAAGTTACTGCCGTTGTCAGAGAGGATCAGTGTTGGTCGACCTCGGCGATGGCACAACCTTGCCAAAGCCATCTCCATGCCCTCGACATCCAGAGAACGCACTACCTCCAGGTGGCACGCACGGGTCTGCAGACATGAGAACGCGGCTATATAGCGCTTCTCTTGCGATCGTCCGCGTCCGATCTTGACCAGGAAAGGCCCAGCGTAGTCTACTCCAGTGTGAGCGAATGCCTGTAACGGTCCGCTTGTCCGGATGTTTGGCAAGTTCCCCATCTTGGGCTCAGCGACACGTCTCCACAGCTTCTGGCAACGGACACAGCGGTGACGGTAGGATTTAACGACCTGGCGACCCTTGATGATCCAATACCGATCGGCCAGGTTAGAGAGCAGATGGTTCGTGCCTGCTCCGTGTTGACAGCGTTCATCCTCATGCCCAACAATTAGCTGAGTGACGCGATGATTGGCGGGCAGTATCACACGGGACCGGAACTGGTCAGACAGGTGGTGTGAGGTCCGGAGCCGTCCACCAACTCGGAGCAGCGGTGGACCGTCAGTGTCCAGGAACAGCTGTAGCTTCGTTAGCGGTGCACTGGGTGGAAGAGGCTTCTTCTCCTTCAGCGTTGACACTACTTCTCCGTAGCACTGCCTCTGCGCATAGCTTATCCAGAGCCGCTCGGCGCCTTGGAGTTCTGTGACCGTCAATTCGGGAACCGAAACAGCCTTAGCACTCTTGAGAGATACTTGCACGGTAGCACCTGCGTTGCTGTCACACTGCTGAGGTCGGCCTCTGGTATTATCAAGGAACCGTTTACACCAGGCTGTGACCCGCAGAAGATTGCTCCAGGACGAGACGTTGTCTGGGTGCAGGCGGCATGTCGTCTGCTCTGCCTGGATCTGGCTAGTGAGAGTCATCGGGTGCGGCCGCTGAAGCAGTGCCGGAAGAACCTGGGGCACTATGATGTCTTTGTTCGGCCATCGCTCCGGACGCTCTTGCAAGAACTCTGGGCCACTCCACCATTTGCCGTCATCCTGCAAGTGCGAGGCCGCAACTCCACGACTTGGTAGATCAGCCGGGTTCAATCGGCCGCTGACGTGCTCTTGTCTTCTGCTGCCGCTGCTGCTACGCTCTTGCCTTCTGCTGCCGCTGCTGCTGCTGCGCTGTTGCCTTCTCCTGCCGCTGCTGCTGCGCTCTTGCCTTCTGCTGCCGCTGCTGCTGCGCTCTTGCCTTCTGCTGCCGCTGCTGCTGCGCTCTTGCCTTCTGCTGCCGCTGCTGCTGCGCTCTTGCCTTCTGCTGCCGCTGCTGCTGCGCTCTTGCCTTCTGCTGCCGCTGCTGCTGCGCTCTTGCCTTCTGCTGCCGCTGCTGCTGCGCTCTTGCCTTCTGCTGCCGCTGCTGCTGCGCTCTTGCCTTCTGCTGCCGCTGGACCTACTAAACCTGGCTAGTCTGGGTTCCACGCGAGTTCGAGGCGCAGGTGAAGGTGCAAGAGGCGCATATGACACACGTTGAAGTTGAACTCCTGCCGTTCCAGGCGCTCCTACTCCATCAAGTGCAGGCTGATCAAAACTACAACTAGTTTGTTCTGCTGCCGAGATCGACATTCGGCTGTCCAATCTTCTGACAACACCTCCTGGACTACCACAAGTAGCACTCGTCTTCCGCGATCGCGGTGCAGGCGTTGGTCGTCTCGGCACTGCCACTGGTACTGGCACGGGACTCGGCTCTGCCGTAGATGTACGTCCATGACGCTCACTCAATCCACGCGCGATCCAGGCTGCATGCAGCGCTTCCATAGAAGCGGTCTCCTCTGCGATCAGGAGTTTTAGTTCCTCCGCTCGCCTATTCAATTTCGCTAAACTCAATTCGAGCTCCTCTTTATCTGACTCCTCAAACCCATACCGAGCCGAGTGCCAGCCTTTAGTCTTTCTTCCACTACGCATCGGTCCGATCGCCCGCGACTCACTCATCCTTGTGAGGTTATAAAATGAACCGCGACTAGATCCGGCTCGAAGGACCACTATGTATTCGATATTTCTGAAGACTGTATTATTGTACCACAATGAGCGTAACGATTCCACAAAAGGCGATCGTTCAAACCAGGTAACAACAAAGAGCAAACTAAACTCAAAACCAAAACCAAAACAACAACTGCACCAGCAAGCTCTTTCCTTGCACTAATAACTACAAATACATCAAAACCAAGCAGCAAAATGCAAATCCGCACGCATGTTTGCCGGAACTGAACCTCCGTAGCGCAGCTGATCATTGCGGCTGCACGGGACGACCTTCCCGCCACAGTAGGGCAAAGAACTATGCATGGAACTAGCAATGAATGCATGCAGCACACCAGCAAGCTGTCCCTACGCAGACGTCTAGTCTAGCGTGAGCAAGGATGAATAGCATGAGAAACATGATATGACACATTGACTCCTATGATGCATGCAATGTATACAACAATACGTGTAATATGGTATTGATATGATGTGAAGGCCATCATTTACATATTGATATAGGGCATTCCATTGATTGGTGACAGAAAAAACAAAAGAAATTATAGCAATAAAAACTGCTTTATGGCAGTTTTCTAAAAAAAGTTATTGTGTTCTAGTCCATGGACCCCGTCTAAAAAGTAAGAAATTAACGAAATGTGATAGCTGAAAATTAAAATTTCACACAAAACCTCACAATAATCACACACAGAATGAAAAGCTACATGCAGAAGACCTTTTCCCCTCGTGATCCTCTTTCCTATGCATGCATGTTGCCAATTGTTGGTGCAGTACAAGTTTAGTGTTGAAAGCAGCATTTCAAGTGTTGTGATTATTGTGAGGTTTTGTGTGAAATTTTAATTTTCAGCTATCACATTTCGTTAATTTCTTACTTTTTAGACGGGGTCCATGGACTAGAACACAATAACTTTTTTTAGAAAACTGCCATAAAGCAGTTTTTATTGCTATAATTAAAGGGGAAGTTAAGGCAAAAATTAAAATTTCACCAGTTGTAGTCTTCGGGGTGCTGAGTCGAATGGTCTTGGTCCGAGAAAGCTGAGACGCTCCCTTCCTACTTGAATCCCAATCGAACTCGCGCACTTCCACCGAAACTGGGTGACTGCGCCCTACGAGATGGGGATTTGTATGCAAAATGTCACTAAAAGCGCCATTTCGTTCTTATAAAAGCACGGATGACCGCGATTGGCCCATATGTTGTAGTCTTTTGGACGCTGAGTCGACTGGTTTTGGTCCGAAAAGGCTGCGGTGCAGCGTTCGCCCCTAATTCCCAATCGAACATGGTTGAACAAGCGGTCACGTGCTCCTGCGTACACCAGTCACCTGGTCACCTTGCCTGCAGGGTACAACTTACAGCCTGTTTTGACCTTTTTTGGGGCAGTCCTGTCACTCGAGTTGAACCTTGGTGTGAAAGTTGTCGCCTGCTGGCGTGGTGACCAGGTGATTTTGGCACCCAGGAGCACGTGACCGCTTCTTCAACCATGTTCGATTGGGAATAAAGGAGGAACGCTGCATCGCAGCCTTTTCGGACCAAAACCAGTCGACTCAGCGTCCAAAAGCCTTTTTCGAGTTGTTGTTGTTGTTGTTACTTTATTTTACTTCACCAGGCTATGACTGCCTCCTCACACAGAGTCTGAACTCAGATGATAACCAGTAAACTGTTAGTACCTATCAAAATAATAAATTCTACTACTACTACTACTAAGACGGCAACGTCTGTAGGGCCTTCCCTATCAAAATAATAAATTCTACTACTACTACTACTACTACCTGAATAAGCCACAGCAGGCACATGTGCACCAGGACTTCAGAAAAACGAAAGTCCTCGGAAAGTCAGAGTGACGAACGCCCCCGGCCCCCTGCATGCATGAAGTCGACCCGAGCCAGGCGCTAGGCCGAGGCCGAGCCAAGCAGCATAGCTAACGACTTTTTTTACGTAACGACGCGCCCCGCGTTGATCGATCTGCATTCTGCACTGCAGAGTGCAGTGCGGCAGTAGCGCGACATCCTTGGACGTGGCGCCGGCGCGGCCATGCTGTGATGGTGAAGCCAAGGCGGCTTTTTCAAGACTTTCAAAAAACACCCTGGCACCTGCATGCATTTGCTGCACACAGTCACAGGCCACAGCATCGATGCATCCACAACAACATCCAACAGCCGACAACCACCCACAGCTCCAGGGCCAGGCACATCTGTGACAGTGGAATTGGAGGTCCTCGTATCGCCAGTTACTAGAGTTAGTCGAAAACTCTTCTTCTGGGGTACGCCTGTCGTCAACGATGTTTTCGCTCTCTTTGCCAGACTGGAAAATGTCGTGCTGAACTTGAAGAATGAAGTGTGGCAAAAGCGAAAATCTCGTAATTCTGGGTGCCAATCAATTTATTGTCTGAGTGACCCTTGCAACTGGAACGACTTTATATCGGCCGTATTGAACTGGTTGTGTGGTGGAAATGGCTGACGAGTCAGTTCGCGTTTCGCTGCGGTGAGTACTAGTAGTGATATAAATGTTGTACGTATGGCCTTTTGCAGTCTACTTTCTGCCCATGGAGTTTCCCTGAGCATGAAATCTGACAATATTGCCAGGTATTCCTTTGTCATTTTCAATAGTGAACTTTTAGACCAGCAGATGCCATACATACATGCACGCGCATGTCACGTCGCATTGGCCATGGTCTAACCGGTTTGGAGATAAGCATCGCTAAAATCACGGGTACTACAGTCACGAGATTTAAAAAAATAAGAAGAGAATCTACAAGTTGATCTCCATGTGGATATGGGGTGAAGCTGTGTGCTCTGACTTTGTGCTCTCTAAATCTAGGGAGTAATTTGCCCATGGAAACTGTGAAATTCTAAAGAAAGTGTGAATATCATCACCACCTTGCACTTCTGTTCAATCAACACCCACGTGGCTGGATCGGCTCTATCGAAACCTATTGTATATAGTTTGGCATGTCTGTTATCCCACTGGTCTGGAAGTCTTGCATGCTGTATAGATCTAGATGAAGGGCATTGTGTGCCGCACACTGTGCTGTAGGATGTTCATCCATGATCCAGTGCTTGGTCTCTTAGTCTAATCATGCAGCATGCAGGATTTGTACTTGAGGTGTGTTCAAGGCGCAATCCACATGTTGACTTTCCTCGTTTTGCTGACTTGCACACGCAGTCTACGTGCTGCAACACGCGACAATGCCAGCGGTTGTGGTGCCAGACAATGGTGCTGAGATGATGAGTGACAGTCACGAGTCGCATGCTCGTTGACTGTAGTTCCATCGGCCACACTTCTACCATGGCTGCTAGTACAGTAAACCACCTGTCAAGGCGACCACTCTGATAAAGCAACCACCTGTCCTAGAAGACCACTGGAGCCAGGACCAAGGGATGCTATTTCCACTCAAACGACCCTGGATAAGGAGACCACCTGGTAACAGAGACCACGCTTTGAAGGTCCCTTGAGCAGTCGTCTTAGACAGGTTTCGCTGACTCAGTAGCAGACCACACTTACCAACACTAATACAGCAATATCAAGAGTACCAACCCCTAGAGTAAAGAGGGTCCGAACCTGGGTTTTCCCAATACGGTTCAAATGGTCGCAAGACCGGGACTCTGCCAACCGGGTTATGGTTGTAGTCAGGAGCACTATGCGTCCTTGCCTTGTAACATGCTGTCAAAATCGAAAAACATGTACTTACCCTGTACTCGATACACGCCAACACATAGATGAGACCCTGAACAGGTGAATGGGCTGTGTAAAAAAAACTGGCGAGAAGTAGCAGTCTGTGGCGAGTGTGCAGTGTTTGCTGATGCCAGACACGCATTGCAATGCCTGGGAAGTACACTGGGCTGTGCGTCGTACTGAGTGTCAGGCTCTGTATTGTGCCGTACTTCTGTGCAGGATTCGTCCGCAGAGCGCGCGAGAGAGGATCGATTTGTGTCGTGTGTGTACGGTGTGTACGCCTGGCATTGAGCAGGTCGTACTGGGCAAGGACAAAGCGTTCACCTATGACCATGTGTACGACATGGATACGCAACAGGAGTCATTGTACAAGTCGTCTGCTGAGAACCTCGTGGAACGGTTAGTCCTGCCCTGTGTGCAGTGCTGTTTGCAGTGTTTTGTGTTAAAACTTACTTATAGGCTCGGTATGCAGCCACGTGTGTGCTCCTTTCCTGTTGAGGTCTACCTGATGTGATGATTGGCTGCTCTTCTCCTGCCAAACACACATCTTACCGCTTTGTTCCTTGCTCTATCACATGTACATAGCCAATAATTGATTTGCATTCAGCCGATCAGTTATCAATAGTATCAATACTCAGTGACTCCCTGAATAAACAATCGTCTCGTCTGTGCCACCGTTTTTATAGGTGTTTGAGTTGTATTATTTCATGTATTGTTGTTTGTTTGGCTGCTCGCGCGCACATGTGTGTGTGTGTGTGTGTGTGTGTGTGTGTGTGCGCGCGCGCGCGTGTGTGTGTGTGTGGTGTATGTGTGCGTGTGTGTGTGCGTGCGTGCGTGCACGCGCATGTGTATGTGTGTTCTTGGGTGTACCTATGTCTGTGTACCTTCTGTGTAACTGACAGCTGCTTTGAAGGGTACAATGCTACAATCATGGCGTATGGACAGGTGTGTACAGAGGTGTTTTTTTAATACTTCTCCTCATCAAGTTCATATTGCTTGGCCTCTGAAATTATAGATGTGTGCTATTGATATTTTTAGGCTAAGAAACAAAAGTAGGCCATTCGAAAGCAGCTTTAGACTGATTGGGCCAGGCTGCTGTGAAACCCCAAAGCAAGAATGCCAAGATGCACTAAGAAGAGAAGTCAAATGCTGTATGAATTTTTGAATTGGTACTAAGTACTGGTAGGCATGGCTTGAGAACAAATTTGAACTTAATGGCCCGTGACGGAAAGTGATCAGGCCACTGCCTGCAAGCCTGACTTAGTCTGACAGCCTAGTGTTTCATGCCACTGAAGCCTGGCACTTCACGACCCTGATGCATGGTGCTCGTATGTGCCTGGACGATTTTCTCTCCTTTTTGTGATTTCATTTCATGTAGACTGGTGCTGGGAAGACGTTCACCATGGGAACAGGATTCGATGTCGACGTTGGCTCCGTGGACTTGGGTACGTCACACGGGAGTTTGTGTGTCATGTCCATTAATTTTGTTCTGTTTTGCGCCGTGAAAGCTCACAACCCAACCGTGCCATACAGCCATTGTCCTACCATGCACACGTAGGTAGGAAGTGCTGGTACAGTGCTCCATGCGTGAAGCACAGATATGTGACATGCACAATCAACTGGCAACTGTTGCTTGATGATTCCTTTTGTCAAGAAACTCAGACTGGCGTACTAATTGCAGTGGACCGTTCCTTTGGATATGGAACACATGTCCCATGCACAGTACCGGTACGATGCTTAGAGAGTGGTGCTTTGGTTTGCTGTGAATATGGCTGTATGCGTTCTGTCTTCTCGCAGGCGTGGTGCCCCGTGCTGTTGAGCACATCTTTAATGGCATTCGTTCTCGTCAGTTAGCTGCCCAGGAAGCTAGCCTACCACCGCCGCAGTTTCAGCTAGAGGCAGAATTCATGGAGGTAGGTTCACTGCTTGAGTGCACATGTGCTAGTTGTGGCATGTGTTTCTCCTGCTGTGTACAGTGTGTTTGTGTGTGTGTGTGTGTGTGTGTGTGTGTGTGTGTGTGTGTGTGTGTGTGTGTGTGTGTGTGTGTGTGTGTGTGTGTGTGTGTGTGTGTGTGTGTGTGTGTGTGTGTGTGTGTGTGTGTGTGTGTGTGTGTGTGTGTGTGTGTGTGTGTGTGTGTGTGTGTGTGTGTGTGTGTGTGTGTGTGTGTGTGTGTGTGTGTGTGTGTGTGTGTGTGTGTGTGTGTGTGTGTGTGTGTGTGTGTGTGTGTGTGTGTGTGTGTGTGTGTGTGTGTGTGTGTGTGTGTGTGTGTGTGTGTGTGTGTGTGTGTGTGTGTGTGTGTGTGTGTGTGTGTGTGTGTGTGTGTGTGTGTGTGTGTGTGTGTGTGTGTGTGTGTGTGTGTGTGTGTGTGTGTGTGTGTGTGTGTGTGTGTGTGTGTGTGTGTGTGTGTGTGTGTGTGTGTGTGTGTGTGTGTGTGTGTGTGTGTGTGTGTGTGTGTGTGTGTGTGTGTGTGTGTGTGTGTGTGTGTGTGTGTGTGTGTGTGTGTGTGTGTGTGTGTGTGTGTGTGTGTGTGTGTGTGTGTGTGTGTGTGTGTGTGTGTGTGTGTGTGTGTGTGTGTGTGTGTGTGTGTGTGTGTGTGTGTGTGTGTGTGTGTGTGTGTGTGTGTGTGTGTGTGTGTGTGTGTGTGTGTGTGTGTGTGTGTGTGTGTGTGTGTGTGTGTGTGTGTGTGTGTGTGTGTGTGTGTGTGTGTGTGTGTGTGTGTGTGTGTGTGTGTGTGTGTGTGTGTGTGTGTGTGTGTGTGTGTGTGTGTGTGTGTGTGTGTGTGTGTGTGTGTGTGTGTGTGTGTGTGTGTGTGTGTGTGTGTGTGTGTGTGTGTGTGTGTGTGTGTGTGTGTGTGTGTGTGTGTGTGTGTGTGTGTGTGTGTGTGTGTGTGTGTGTGTGTGTGTGTGTGTGTGGTGTGTGTGTGTGTGTGTGTGTGTGTGTGTGTGTGTGTGTGTGTGTGTGTGTGTGTGTGTGTGTGTGTGTGTGTGTGTGTGTGTGTGTGTGTGTGTGTGTGTGTGTGTGTGTGTGTGTGTGTGTGTGTGTGTGTGTGTGTGTGTGTGTGTGTGTGTGTGTGTGTGTGTGTGTGTGTGTGTGTGTGTGTGTGTGTGTGTGTGTGTGTGTGTGTGTGTGTGTGTGTGTGTGTGTGTGTGTGTGTGTGTGTGTGTGTGTGTGTGTGTGTGTGTGTGTGTGTGTGTGTGTGTGTGTGTGTGTGTGTGTGTGTGTGTGTGTGTGTGTGTGTGTGTGTGTGTGTGTGTGTGTGTGTGTGTGTGTGTGTGTGTGTGTGTGTGTGTGTGTGTGTGTGTGTGTGTGTGTGTGTGTGTGTGTGTGTGTGTGTGTGTGTGTGTGTGTGTGTGTGTGTGTGTGTGTGTGTGTGTGTGTGTGTGTGTGTGTGTGTGTGTGTGTGTGTGTGTGTGTGTGTGTGTGTGTGTGTGTGTGTGTGTGTGTGTGTGTGTGTGTGTGTGTGTGTGTGTGTGTGTGTGTGTGTGTGTGTGTGTGTGTGTGTGTGTGTGTGTGTGTGTGTGTGTGTGTGTGTGTGTGATGCTGGGTTTAATAGCCCTTTGGATATGATACTGCTGTACTCGTGGTCTATCTCAGCTTGCCATGACAATGGAGTGTAAAATCACATACTCCGCTTCCGCTCTTGCCATGGGTTGTTGACATGGAGTTTCGTAGTACGCCTTGGAGGAGCACCTCTATAATTTGTGGACTCCTCCCTTTGTCGCCTGGCAGCAATTTAGGCGCCAGTTTGGAGTAAACGTTTGTCGACAAATCATGTTGTGCAGAGTTGTCAGTGTATAACTTCATCATCCATGGACCTGCACTCTAACATCTGATGATGGTCATTTGGCACATTGTGCTACAGAGTTCTGACTCGGTTTTGTTTTTGTTCCCCCTTTCCGTTGTTTCATCTTTAGCTGTACAACGAAGAGATTGTGGACTTGTTTGATGCCAATCAGGTAAGCTCTTTTACACAGTCATACTCTGCTGCTGCTGCAGCTACCGTCGCTATGTAGCACACCGTCCTATGCATGTGCACGCGTGTGTGTGTGTGTGCACGCGTGTGTGTGTGTGTGTGTGTGTGTGCACACGTGTGCGTATATGCGCTGACTGCGTGCGCGCGTGTGTGTGTGTGCACGCGTGCTCGCACGCATGCGCGCATGGCTCTAGTAAAAAATGTGCGCTGACTGCAGCTTAAGTTTACCGTTCATGTTGATGTTGGGTTCTATGATTTGTCTCGTCAGTAATGATGTTGTGTTGTGTTGTTGCTGCTGTAGGGTAACAGGAAAGGCCTTCGTATACACGAGGACGGGGGACGGATATTTGTTGCAGGCATGAGCTCCAGGAAAGTCTCATCGGCCGAGCAGGTATGCAATCACGGAGATTTGTTTGCGCTGGAATTGTTTTGTCAAGTTTTTTTTATGTGTGCAATTTTGTCGGAGATGTGTCTGCTCTTCTGGTTGAAACCTTGCCCTGAATACGTGAGTGTTGTATGGTCCCATTCAGTGTTACTTTAGAACGACTCACTCCAGTGAGTGTAGTCCACCAGAGCTGTTGCAAGACACTTTAAAAAAAGCAATGCTTGTGTTGCTCAGGATGACCTTGACTGTTTGTGCTTGATGTGTTGCAACACCAACTACAGACAATGAAAACGCTGAAGGAAGGAGCACTGTCCCGTACCACTGCCAGCACATCGATGAATGCCCAGTCGTCTCGATCGCACGCCATCTTCACACTGCATATCACCCAGCAGAGGCTAATCAGTTCGACGTCGGCGGAGAATGACGAGGTAACAATCCCCAGCACTTGTGACGTTCGCCAATAGTGGAGATACTATTCAGCTTCATTGGCACCGAGCGACCATTCATCTTCTGCCTTTTTTCTTACGCAATACTGCTTGCAGTTTTATGCCTTGCAGAATGTTGGGAGAATGTTGAAGTCTTAGAAACGACTTTGCTAGCACATGCTATGTTGTGTATGCAGGTGCACATGTTCTGTAGCTGTGTCTAACAATGTAAGTAATACATGCAAGTGCTGGCTGCCGTGCACTCAGAGTAGATGGCACAGATAGTATGCCTCCTGTTCTGGCCGTTTTTTGCTGCAGGCATCTACGGAGCAGCTGACGGAGAATGGCAATGGCTCTGAGCTGTCCTCATCGCCAAACCAATCCTCCGACAGTAGCACGGCCAATGGTGCCGGTGGCAGTGTGGACTTTGAAACCCTGTCTGCCAAGCTGCACTTTGTGGATCTGGCTGGTTCGGAGAGGCTGAAGCGCACCGGTGCTACTGGTGATCGGGCCAGGGAAGGAATCTCCATCAACTGTGGCTTGGTATGTCTGGTTTATACAGCGGATATAATGCTGGTGATTGTTGTCCATGTGTGCTCAAACCAAATTTGAGTTATTCAAAAAAGTCTAGAGGTCTATACTTTTGAAACGCACTATAGATCCAACACATCTATGAACATTTTGTTTTGCAAGGTTCAATGTGACAGTGTATATAGGTAGCAGCAGTGCAGGCCGATATTTTAATATGGCCGAAATGTATTTTATCCCTGGGAGGCCGAAATGTATTTTAGCCCTGGGAGGCCGAAATGTATTTTAGCCCTGGGAGGCCGAAATGTATTTTAGCCCTGGGAGGCCGAAATGTATTTTAGCCCTGGGAGGCCGAAATGTATTTTAGCCCTGGGAGGCCGAAATGTATTTTAGCCCTGGGAGGCCGAAATGTATTTTAGCCCTGGGAGGCCGAAATGTATTTTAGCCCTTGGAGGCCGAAATGTATTTTAGCCCTGGGAGGCCGAAATGTATTTTAGCCCTGGGAGACCGAAATGTATTTTAGCCCTGGGAGGCCGAAATGTATTTTAGCCCTGGGAGGCCGAAATGTATTTTAGCCCTGGGAGGCCGAAATGTATTTTAGCCCTGGGAGACCGAAATGTATTTTAGCCCTGGGAGGCCGAAATGTATTTTAGCCCTGGGAGGCCGAAATGTATTTTAGCCCTGGGAGACCGAAATGTATTTTAGCCCTGGGAGGCCGAAATGTATTTTAGCCCTGGGAGGCCGAAATTTAAATGCGCCTAAAATTTGTAGACTCACAATAAGTTCACTTAGACCAGCAAGAGGTCGGAGAGCTGGCTGCTGCAACCGCTCACCATTAACACGTACACTTCTCATAGCGTCATTCCTGTCAGTAGCTAGGTGCTTGGTGGACCGCAGTGTGTCACAACACGATTGTCAAGCCACTGAATGTAGGTAATGTTCCCATTGCGTGTGCGGTAAATGTCACCGCACTGGCCATGTCGCTCAAGGTCTTATGCATTCTTGAGGGCTTGCGGAAACCCAGTCCTGTTGCTTCTCACAGTAAAAAAACAAGGTGACTGTCTTGGGCATGCAGTGATTGGGCAATACAGTTATTGGTGTAATAATTGGCAGTGAAAACTGAAAAGACTAAGACTATTTCCACCTGGTGCAACAAGCAATGGAAGTACAAGTGGATATAGAGATAATAGTTGTTTTGAGTACAGCTTCTGTGCTTGTACGCATGTGTGTACGTATGTGTATGTGTGTGTATATGTGTGTGTGGTGTGCGCATGTGTGTGTGTGTGTGCGTGCGCGGATGCACACATGTGCATGTGTGTCTGTGTGCATGTGTCTGTGTTTTTTACATCTTTAGCTTGCCCTGGGAAACGTCATCAGTGCTCTCGGTGATAAGAGTAAGCGTGCCTCACACGTACCGTACAGAGACAGCAAGCTAACGCGACTGTTACAAGATTCACTGGGTGGAAACAGGTAAGCAATGCGATGACCAGTGTTAACTGTTTGGGATGAAGTCACTTATATGCGTGATGCCATTTTTTGTTGTCCTTTATAAAGTTTAATCATCCAAGCTTATCTTTATATGGCACGCGTACATGTACTGGTATAGTTGTAGACTTGAAGAGTAGATTTGGCTGAACTTCCATTCGTTGCAAAAGGAGCACTAAATGATTCTGCAGCATTGGGTGATTTGCCGCATCCTGTGTATACTGCAAGCCACTTAGTGTGTACTAGTACTCTGATAACTGATGGAGTACTGTTACTATGGACAATGGTCCAGAGCATGGGTGTACTGTCATACGTACATGTACACCCGTGCTCTCCATATTGGCTTTAACATACTAGTATTGGATTTAAATCCATGCTGAAGTATGTTAGGATAAGAAGTACCTCGGTTACTGTAAAGTACGCATTCCTGCTACTCAAGGGAATACCTCTTATCAGAGATCTACTGTATCTGGTTTTTCGATTTTGACAGCATGTTACAAGGCGAGGACGCGTAGTGCTCCTGACTACAACCATAAACCGGTTGGCAGAGTCCCGGTCTTGCGACCATTTGAACCGTATTGGGAAAACCCAGGTTCGGACCCTCGTTACTCTACGGGTTGGTAGGATTTTTATAATTTTCGTTTTTTTGTGTTGTAGAAGTCGTCGTGTTGCCGCCGTAGTATTGTTCACGTTGCTGCCGCTGCAGGGATCACGTCTGGAAGGATTTGTGATGTTATTTTCTTGTCTTCCTCTGTAATTAAATTATTTGTGATTTATTTCTTTTTTCTTTTGTTCTTTTGTTCTTTTTCTTTTTTCTTGTCTTTTTTCAACTTCTGCCCATGGCGTCCTTCTCTCAGCTCGTCAGCTGTAACAGTCATAGTCATCACCATGACGACTGTTGTGAGAAGGTGCTCGCTGCCGACGAGGTTGGTGATGTCCCGACGAGGCCATGGGTAGGCCTTCACCACGTCGGAACACCCCGTCTGCACGTTGGTGTTGTGGTCTGGGTGTTGATGGACGTTGATGTTGTTGTAATAGTTGTTGTCGTTGTAATTGTCGTTGATTGTTGTTGTTGTTGTTGTTGTTGTTGTTGTTGTTGTTGTTGTTGTTGTTGTTGTTGTTGTTCTCCTTAGTGTTGTTCTCGTTGTTGCTGTTGGTCTTGGTAATACTAATAGTCTTGTTCACGGACCTCATGAATTCCACAAATAAAACAGAGTTATATTTCTTGAATCAGCTTCAGGGTTACTTTTCCTTCAATTATGAATGATTTGTGGAATGTTGCAATTGGTAACATGGAAACATAAGTTCAGTGCAGCTTCCAGTATGTTGTTCAGGTGAGGTACACCGGTTTTTGGGGATCAAATGTCGGAAGTCAGCATTGCTTACCTCGGCTGTTGCGCTGGACCGTCTTGGGTTCACTCGTAGTTAATTAATTGTGCGTCCCCCCAGGGGGTTTGGGCTCTCCGGTATTAATCCTTTGTTGAACGAGAAATTGTTTACTAATTAATTATTGATGAAGGGGTTAGTGTTGTATCACGTTCTTCGTGGCGTGGGCTGAGTCTTCTGTCAGGTGGACGGAGCTATAAAACACACAGACAGGACGGCGGTTATTGGTGTATCGAAGGAGAAGAGAAGTCTCACTGGCGGGTCTCTGAGAGAGACACACGTGTTGACTTTGGACTTACCGGGAGATCTCTCCAGGTTGTCCGAGGAGCTGGTAAGATGGTCGTCGACGTCGAAGGTGAACGTAGGCTGAGGAAGATATGTGGAGTGTAGTCGGACACGACGTGATGGCTTCTTGTTGTCTTCGCGAGTTGTGTTCTGGAGACGTCGATCTTGCGTGGTGTCGTAGGTCGTGCGCGGGGATCGCGCGTAGCTCTGCGTGCGGTGATGCTGGCGCGCGTGGTGCTCCGGGGCGTTTGTCGTCCTCGTCGTTCCGACAATGGTGAGTCGTACTTGCAGACTTGCTTCTTTCGCGATTGTGCGTTGCATCTCCGCCGTTGGGGTCAATATTTGACCCGGGCGTTGTCCATACCGCTTGTTCTGGATGTGTTGTGCGGTCTCCGTTGATCTGGGTTTGCGGTGGTCAGGTCCGAGTACGAATCTACCACGTGAACCGTGTGTGGTGGATTAATTATTTTATTTTGGTGGAGATCGAAAATGATCTCCGGTCCGAGGAAAACGGCTCGATCCGGCCGGCGGTCGAGTGTGCCTGTTGTGTATAGCGAGAGCTGCAGAGTGCAGTAAATATTGGCGCCCCTATTGTAACTGTCTAGTCTCTAGGTGAATGGATGCTGTAATCTGTTCGCGTGGTACTGCCTGCTGAGCGCTGTGTTGTTCGGAAACAAGAGTCGAAGAGAAGGTTGTAGATGGATCAGAGCTGGTAACTAACTGTTGCTTGTGAGTGGTTGCAGTCGTCTATAGTGCTGATACTGATACTTATACATGGAGGAATCTTCGGTTGTTGGTTCAATTATTTGATCAGTAGTGTCCTTATGGAGGGGGAAATGTGGGTGGTGAGCTGTCCTAGTGGTAGATTTACCCCTATTGTCTGTGGCCGTGGGAAGCCCTGCGAGAAGGAAACTGCAAGTGGAAATTGTTGCGGATTCTATTCAGACTTTGATTTTCAGTCTATGGAAGAGGTATCTTATTAAAATTTTAATTTTTTTGGGAGGTTGAAATTTCCAGTCGACATAGTGACGCAATTGAATAGTTGGGATTAGGTGGTATGATTGCGTAAGGAGGAGGAAGGAATTGGATCAGTTGGAAAATACACAGGAAGAAAAGGCAGGGGGGGTTGGTTTGATTGAGTGCTATATACTCGTAATGTAAGAAATTTGTATGTAATTATGTGGAAAAATTATGGACGGGTAATTGCCATTGATTTATGTTATTATTATGACGGATGACCTGGACCAACGGCAATGTTACCTAATCATGTAATTATATGTAAGTGTGTGTAACGTGTACTAGAAATAGGGAATATTATAAATATGTAACTATATTATGTAGGTTATATGTAGTTTTATGTATTAATTTTATATGTGAATTATGTGTGAATTATAATTATATTTTCGTGACATATGGGGAATATGGTTTTTGTGCGGTTGGTGAGTGTATCGTTGCGAGTGTGTGTTGGTCAGGGGCCTGCCAGGCAAAGAGTGTTCTCCTTAAAAATGTCACAGCCATTCGTATGTGTACGTTACTCCAGCATCAAGGTTCATACTTGGCTGTCTTCTTTTGATCAGGAATGCCTCTGTGTACTTCCGTAATGCAAGTTGGGGTATTCGGCGAAGGATGACGGGATTTGCCCAATCAATTGCATGTCCAGTATCCAGGACGTGTTTGGCCACACCATTGTCTGCTTTCCTGTTGTGGACGTCTCTTTGGTGCTCCTCCATTCGTTTTTTTAACCGTCTTCCTGTTTCTCCCACGTACTCAGCTCCACAGGTGGCGCAGTTCAGGGCATACACTACACCGTATTGGTCCTTGGTGGATGGAGGCGGGGTTTTTTTCTTTGTGAGCAGGTTCTTCAGGGTGGTCGATCGCCGGTGAACCATACGGAATGGTGCGTTCTTCGTTTTTCTTTTGATTTTCTCCGATAGCCCACGGACATAGGGTAGTGAGAGCGGTCGGTATGTGTAACTGGAAGCCGGTCTCGGTTGATGTTGTTGTTGTTGTTGTTGTTGTTGTTGTTGTTGTTGTTGTTGTTGTTGTTGTTGTTGTTGTTGTTGTTGTTGTTGTTGTTGTTGTTGTTGTTGCTGCTGCTGCTGCTGCTGTTGTTGGTGTTGTTGTTGTTGTTGTTGTTGAGGTTGCTGTTGCGGTTGTTGTTGTTGTTGTTGTCGGTCTTGCTGTTGACGGTGTCGGCGATGAACCTGTTGGATTACCCCTTCGATGGTCTCCAGTGGGTAGCCGTTGGAAAGGAATTCAGTGCGGAGAGTTTCTCTCTCTTTGTCTTTCAGCAGGTTAGTGCTGCAATGCGATTCGATCCTCTGTGCCAGGCACGATAATGTAGCACATTTCGTGGCATTAGGATGGTGGGAGGCGAAATTGATGTATTTACCCGTGTGGGTTGGCTTCCTGTACACTTGTGTCGACAGATTGGTCTCAGATCTTTGGACCCAGACGTCCAGGAAGGCAATACCTCCATTTTTCTCTTCTTCCACCGTGAATTGGATATGTGGTGATATGGCGTTGGCGGCTGCGAGTACGTGGGGCAGTTCTCCCTTCTTGATGATGGTGAAGGTGTCGTCCACGTACCGCAGCCAGGCCTTGATCCTTTCACCACATATTGCCAGAAGCCGTCCTTCCAGCCACTCCATGAAAATGTCAGCTAACACGGGAGAGAGTGGTGAACCCATGGCCGCACCTCTTGTTTGTCTGTAAAAGGTCTGGTCGTACTGGAGGTATGCGTTATTGACACAAAATTCTACCAGTTGTACGATGCTGGTCACTGAGAGCGAGGTGTCCCTGTTTGCTGGGTTCTGGGTGTCTAGTTTCTCTTTTAGGATCTCTAGAGTCTTGGCCATTGGGACGTTGGTAAAAAGGCTTTTGACATCAAAGCTAGCCATTGCGTGGTCGTTGTCGATGTGAAGGTCTGGTATCGTCGTGATGAAATGCCTTGAATTTGCGATGTATGTGTCTGTCTGTCCAGTGAGAGTTCGGAGGATCTTGGCCAGGTGGCGGGCTAGGCGGTGCGTCGGTGAGCCTATCGCAGCCACTATTGGCCTTAGTGGGATTCCTTCTTTATGAATTTTTGGTAATCCATAAAGATGTGGTGCGGAGCAGGTCCACGGATTGAGGAAAAGCTTTTGGCTTTTTGTTAAGGTCTCGTCCCGTGTGAGTGGTTGCAGAAGTGAGTTTAGTTTCCGTATTGTCCGGTCTGTGGGGTCTGTCGTCAAGGTGGTGTAGGTGGTAGTGTCGTTGAGATGTTGTTGTATTTTTTGGTCATAATCGTTGGTGTCGAGGAGAACCACTGCCTTTCC